CCAAAATCAGTGACAATTTTTTTCACCAAGAGGCCCATGGTCTGAACCACTGATTTATTAACTCCCCTAGGCTGGAGGTCAAATCACTCAGGGAATTCACTCGTGTCCTCATGTGACTTAATAAGATGATACATTAACAGACTCATCAGGTACTAATACGCAGGATTCTATTTGGATAATGGCACCAGTGCCTCCTTGCAAGGCAGTAATAATGTCCAAGGCCATCCTATTTTGGAGGACAGCTTTCCTCATTAGAGACATTTCAGGGTTCAGTAAGGATAGGCTTTGTTGGCTATCATTTAAGGCTTGCTGGGTGAGTTTAGTAAGAGCTTCTATGTGCGGTATGATGTTCTCCAGGCCAACAGAGGGAACAAAGATGGCAGCCAAATGATCAAACAGTGGAAAACAGAACATGCCCACCCGGCCTTGAGGAAAGAAAGGTTGGCAATTATTACCATGGGGCAGATTCTCCTCTGTGCCCAGGGAAAACCCAGGGTACAGCTGCCCAACCACCCAGGTGGAAGCCATGGCCAAAGATTTGTGCTACACACCACTGGGTCCCATTCAGAGGCACCCAATAAATATCTGTGTGGCATGACCAGTCAGTACCAAACCAGTCACTATCCTTTTTTTTTTTTTTTTTTAATTTTTTGTGAGGAAGATCAGCCCTGAGCTAACATCCATGCCAATCCTCCTCTTTTTGCTGAGGAAGACTGCCCCTGGGCTAACATCTGTGCCCATCTTCCTCCACTTTATATGGTACACCGCCACAGCATGGCCTGACAAGTGGCGCCTCAATGCATGCCTGGGATCTGAACCCGGGCTGCCAGCAGCAGAGCACGCACACTTAACCGCTATGCCATGGGGCCGTCCCCAGTCACTATCCTTTAATGTGACAGAATGCCTGCACAGTTCCAGTGATATCCATCCCCTATTCCCAGCGCAGTTGGGTTGGTTCTGTTGAGAGTGATTTTTCTATTCCCACCATGGGAGTGCCCAGGTACTCAAATGTCTATAACCCCAGGATAAGCCACATAAATCCAGCCCAAATCTAAGCATAGCCACCTGTGGCTCCAATGGTGGTATTTTTAGGACCCTTCTGGTCAGCAGTTTTATGGGCTGTCTATGTAGTTTGACAGAAAATGAATCCCATGCCCAGTGTTATTGACAGGGTGTGCCACAGGCCAGGTTTCTGAATCAGTATTGGTAATATCAGATGAATTAAGAGTACTAGTCCTACCTTGCTCTTCCTTAATGTACCGCTTTATGGCCTTCCAATCCCCTCCCTGGATTGCACCCACCAGTGCAATCCTGACGAGCTAGAGAGGGGCAGCTGCCCACCTACCCAACAGTTGGGTTGATTTTGTTGTTGGGCATACGAGTGGGCCTATATAGAAAGGTATTCCATCAGGTGCCCATCCCGTGACCAGACAGCACAGGAGAAGCAGATGTCTAAGGTCAAAAAGACAAATATTTAACGGGAACTTGTATGGGAAGGTCATCTCCTTCTATAAGAATTACACTTGTGGCCTGGTCCTTAGATGTTAATTTGGCTGCTGCTTTAGGTATTTGACCTGGTTGTGCATACCAGACATGTTGGCCAGGGAAGGCATCACTGTCGGCCATGAGGAGATGGACTGGGGATGGGAAATGCCAGACCAGGACCCCCACCTTCTACCCTCTTTCAATGGTGTATTCCATTCCAGATATAGTGCATTTCAACAGGTCCACCTTGCAGCAGGACAATGGGATCCCAGTGGAGACTGAGCAGTCCCCACCACCCAGGGGTGCAAAGTAACTCACTCATCCTGGGGGGAAGTCCCATCGCAAGTTCCAGGAGATAATTCCTTTTCAGGCGTGCTGAGGCTTGGTGTTCTCAGCAGTATAGCATGTTGATCCATGGTCAGAGTCGGGGCAGTGGCTATTTCCTGAGACTTCCATACCTTTGTGGTGTTGGGTGTCTCGGGAGGGGTCCCCAGGCTGGCATATGGGGCAATAGGTCCTACTGGTTGATCATTCAAATGTATTAAAGCCTGGGACAGTACTTTAGTCCACCCGGCCAAAATGGTTTTACCTGTTAGAAATTTGATCTGCTGCCTTAATATTCCATTTCTGTTTTCCATTAAACCTGTTGCTTATGGGTTATGGGGGAGATGGATCCTCCATTCAACATCATGTTCTTTTGCCCAGTCTTGCATATCATGACCTTTGAAATGTGACCCCCGATCACTGTCTTTTTTTTTTCAGGGAAAGATTTGCCGTGAGCTAAAATCTGTTGCCAATCTTCCTCTTTTTGTTTGTCCTCCCCAAAGCCCCAGTGCATGGTTGTATATCCTAGTTGTTAGTCATTCTAGTTCTTCTATGTGAGCTGCTGCCACAGGATGGCAACTGACAGATGGGTGGTGTGTTTCCACGACCGGGAACCGAACCCAGGCTTCCGAAGCAGAGCACACTGAACTTTAACCACTAGGCCGTCAGGGCTGGCACTCTCACGGTTTTGAAGGCTGGGAAGTCCAAGAGCAAGGTGCCAGCAGATTCGGTGTCTAGTGAGGGCCTACTTTCTGGTTCCAGACAGCCATCTTCTTCTTGTTGTGTCCTCACATGGTAGAAGGGGCAAGGGAGCTCTCTGGTGTCTCTCTCATAAGGGCACTAATCCCATTCATGAGGGCTACACCCTAGTTACCTAATCACCTCACAAAGGCCCCACCTCCAAATACCATCACACTGGGAATTAAATTTGAACACACGAATTCTGGGGGGACACATTCAGTCTGTAGCAGCAGCTTTATTCATAATTGCCAAAACTTGGAAGCAACCAAGATGTCCTTCAGTAGATGAACAGATTAATAAACTGTGGTATATCCAGACAACAGCATATTATTCAGTGCTAAAAAGAAATGAACTATCAAGTCATGAAAAGATATGGAGGTTTCTTAGATGCATATTACTAAGTGAAAGAAGCCCAACTGAAAAGGCTACATACCGTATGATTCCATCTATATGACATTCTGGGAAAGGCAAAATCATGGAGATAGTAAAAAAATTAATGGCTGCCAGGGGTTAGGGGAGAGGGAGGGATGAATTGGAGGATCACAGAGGATCTTAAGGCAGCAAAACTTTTCTTAATGATACTATAATGGTGGATATATATTATTATAGATTTTTCAAAACCCATAGACAGTACAACACCAAGAGTGAACTCTAATGTAAGCTGTGGATGTCGGGTGATAATGATTTGTTAATATAGGTTCATCACTTGTAACAAATGTACCACTCTGTGGGATGTGAATACTGGGGGAGGCTGTGCATGTGTGGGGGCAGGGGGTATATGGGAACTCCCTGTACTTTCTCCGTAATTTTGCTGTGAACCTAAAACTGCTCAAAAAAAAAAAAAAAAAGTCTATTTGAAACAAACCAACAACAACAACAACAAAAACAAGTGATACCAGGGATGTAGGATTGCTTTGTACACGGCAAAATGCTCTGTACACGGGTTATCACTGCTTGAAGAGGCATGTGCTGGACTTGGTGGGCACAGCACGTGGCATTTACAGTAAGATGTTCAGAAACAGAATATCTTGGAGCTGTGTTTTTCTGGGTTTTTTTGGTGAGGAAGATTAGCCCTGAGCTAACATCTGTTGCCAATCCTCTTTTTTTTTTGGCTGAGGAAGAGTGGCCCTGGGCTAACCTCTGTGCCCATCTTCCTGTACTTTATACGTGGGATGCCCACCACAGCATGGCTTGATAAGCAGTGTGTAGGTCTGTGCTAGGATCTGAACCTGCAAACCCTGGGCCACTGAAGCACAGAGCGCAAATGTAACCACTATACCACCCGGCCAGCCCTTTTGGAGCTGTTTTTTCCTTCTCTATATAAAGTTAGTGAGCTAGAGGTTAACACTGAAAGCTTTTTGGGGGTGACAGCCAGCTCTCAAGTCATCCTTCCCTCTGCCCTAACAGACCGGCGTGTAAATGCCTCAGGGAGGGTAAACTGAAAGCTTTGTGAATGCACTCCTCAGAGATTAGTTAACAGCAGGACTGGCCTCAGGCCACTTCCCCTCTCTGGGTCTCAGTTTCCTTGCTTAAAAAAGAAAGTGGTTTCAGATGTTTTCTGAAACCCTTCCCAGCTCTGCGCTTCTGTGACTCTTTTTTCAGTTTCGGCTTGTAGGCCCTTCAGTCGGGCTTGTAGGCCTTTGGACATGGGATTCCTTCCACCAGCACTTGTCTGGTTTGTTGCTTGCTGTTCTGTCTTTCTGGTTTCAGCATAGACATCACTTCCTTGGAGAAGTCCTCTTGACCTCTCTAAGCACAATGAGCCATCCAGCTGTCCCTTCTCCAGGTGCCCCACCCATCCTCCATCTCTGCCCTTATACATTGAAGGATAATTTTCTGTCTACTTGTTCTACCCCACTCTAGGCCACCACCCCACTGAGAGCAGAGAGAGTGTGGTAGTCTAGTGCTAAGGGGAGTCGCAGGCCCAGATTTCCCTGGGGATGGCCCCAGCTCTGTCTCTGCCTGGGGAGCCTCCAGAGCCAAGTCCTCTGGGGAGGGCTGTGCCTCCAGAAACACTCAACCATGAGCTAGAAGCTGTGTGTGTGTGTTGGGGGGGGCGGGATGACACGTCTTTCATTAGTAAAAGAACAATTTACATTATTAAAAGAATGATTAACATTAGAGCTTACTCACTTGCAACAGAGACTTTCTTAAGGGCCACAGAATCCCTGTAAGTGTAATCGTTTTGAGTATTTGTTTTTAAAAATTTATCAGAGGGAGAATTTAAGATCTGAGTTCTCCCAGTCTAAGAATCTCTCAAAGGTTAAGGCAAAGAATCAGAAACAATAATAATTAGAACAGACCTTTGAGCACCTGGTTTGGAATTTTCCATCCCATTGACAGGAAGGCAAACACCTTCTGTCCTGGCCCCTTCCTCCTGACCCGGAGTGGCTACTCCCACCCTGCACCTTTGTTCAGCTCCGCCCAGTGTCACCTGGCTGTGACCTCTCTGCCCGTCCGCCTCAGAACAGCTCTGGCTGTGCAACATGGGGCTGCCCTGGGCCGGGCTGTGGCTGAGGAGGCTCTGGGTGCTCCTGCAGGTGGCTCTGCAAGTGGCTGTGGGCAAAGTGCTACTGATACTCTTTCCTGAGAGAGTCAAGAAGCACATCGTGGCCATGAACCAGAAGAACCCCCACTTCTCCTATGACAACTGGGCCCCGACCCTCTACAGCACCCAGTATTTCCGGTTCATCCTGAAGGTCCACTGGCAGCGACTAGAGGACACGACTAAGCGAGGGGGTCTGGCCCCAAACAGCCCCGTGGTCCGCCTCTCAGGACAGAGGTGCAACATCTGGGACTTCATGCAAGGTCAGGAGGCTGACGCCAGCTTGAGGGGTGCTTGGAAAGGGGGTGCCCCAAGGGAATAGGGAGGTGGGCTGGAAGTCCTGAATTATTCTTCTGCTGCTCCAGCTGCTCCGTTTTTGGCTTCTTGTCCTCTTCCCACTTCCTGAAATCAGGGCTTCTCCTGGATTCTGTTTTTCTGAGAGGGATCACCGCCTTCCCAGCACTCAAACCACCAGCCAGCCACATTGGCCTCCGCTCCTTCAGCACGGCTCCTACTGCGCAGTCGCTCTGCCTGGGACGCGCTCCATCCCCTCTCTGCCTGGTCAACCCCTGATCCTCCTTCAGACTTCTGCTCAGTGATGCTTCCTGCGACAAGCCAACCCCAACTCCCCCAGACTGCGTTACTCCCTCTTGTACACTTAACACCCTCAACTTTTCTTTATCACATCTGTCCTGGTTTGTGGTTATGTCCGGGCGTTTGATTAACGTCTGTCGCTGTCACTGGCCTGCAGCTCTGCACAGGTGGAGACCATCGCTCTAGCCCACTGCTGGGCCCCCATGGCTGCTGCTGGCTCAGGGTAGTTGCTCAGTAAATATGGGTTGACATCTCTCTATTCCAGGCAAATGAGTTCTAGCGATTTAGGGTCTAAAGACCTGTCAGATCAGTTTTCTCTTTCTGTCCTCACAGCTGTTCTTCCTGCCAGGACTTCCTCCTCCCCCTGTTGCCCTCTCTTCCCACCCACCTGGTGAATGGCTGCCAGATTCCCCTCCCACATGCACATCCCTGGCCAATCGACACCCCAGCTCACCAACCTTTGGCAGCCTCTGTCTGCATTCGGGATGAAGCCTGGGCTCGGTCTGGAGCTCAAGGTCCTCCCCGGGCAGATTCCAGCTTTTCTTCCCAATTTCACCTGCAAGCTTCCCCTCAGGCTCATTGCCTCCAAGACGAACGGTTGGGCCTTGTCTGTCCCTCGTACTTTCCCTTCTCTGCCTTCGCTGGTGTTGTTGGCACTTCCCCTCCATTGCTGACACTGAAAATCGCCCTCCTCATCAGAGTCCTGCTCTCCTGCCTCCCCCTCCATGAAGCCATCTCAGATCCCTACAGCTAGGCACGCTTTCTCTCCCTTCTGGACTCGTGCCTCTCTGTCTGCACCTCTCCCAGGACCCTGATTCTTCCTATCTAGCATCTGGCTGGCTAAGCACATGTGTTTTCTTCCTGCCTGGTGGGGAGCCTCACGACAGGGCTGCCTGATTCATCTCTGAATTCCCAGGGTCTAGACAAGCAGCTGGAGTAGAGGAGGTCCCTGAGGCAGTCGGCTAATCGAGCATTTTTCAAAGTGTGTTCTTTGGAACCCAAATCCCATAGATATGCTTTAGTACATAGAGTTCCCTGCTCAAAGTAGTTTGGAAAACCCTGCACACTATACCCTCCTGGAAATTCATAGTGCATGTGAACATATAAAAGTCTCCCAGCAGTCCTGAAGCTTAAAAACAAACAAACAAAACTTGAAAAGACTTCAACACAGCACTGATGAATTTTCCTAACACACACACACACAACTCCCCACTCTCCACTCAAGGAAATGCCTATCATCATCTTATTGGTTCCCTTTGGGAAACGTTGACCTAATCCAATCCTCTCATTTTAGAAGGGAAATGGAGAACACTGAGAGCCAAGGTAACAGAGCCGGTGAGGGACCAAGGCAGACCCAGAATCAGGGCTTCTTGCTTTTCTAATGCACCTCAACAATGCCATGAGCACCTGCTGTGCGCCAGGCCCTCAGCAAGACGCCAGGACTCAGGGTGAGGGAAGAGCTTGCTCCTTCACTCAAGCGGCTTATGCTTCTACACAACAGACTGATGTAATAAACAGTCCGTACAGTTCCGTGAGGTGGGGAAGGCTGGAAAGGGATGCCTCTACCCACAGGGCTTGGAAAGTTTCCTGGAGGAGGTGGCTTTGGAACGAGGCCTTGAGGAATGAGTTAAGACTTTTTGTAGCTTGAGAAGAGAAAAGGGAAAAGTATTTCAAATGGAGGGAAAGGTAAGAGGTTTTTGCTCATGATTTTAAACCACAGTGCACAAATGACCTCTGTTTGCTCAAAAAACATTCACTAAGTGACCACTGATAGAAGACCAATGAGAATAACAGCTCTGTTTTATTGTGCTTCTACTACGAGCCAAGCACTGTGATGGAACCAGGCCACTTTGCTGACCATCAATTATCTGGCGATCAGTTCCATGAAAGCCAACTTGCTTCATGGGCAATTCACAGAATTTACTTGCTTCTTTTAACTGTTTACTTTCAGTGGGCCAGTTTACATTTTAACGATGTTCTATTTGTCTCTGCTCCCTGCTGTTGTACCTGAGAGAGAATGGCGACGGAAGGAGACTGAGAGAGACAAAAAGACTGAGACAAAAGAAAACTCTGTTTATAAAACAGAGTTGGCTTTCAGCACATGGACCCAGAGTCCCTGAAATAATGGGTATAGGTGATCCAGCAATCAACACAACTGGCCTCTGCCCTGGAAGATCTCATAACTCAGAGAGGGAAATGAAGTAGTGGGAGAGGGAACTAGAGGGTTCTGGAAGAAGTGGGCTGGGGCAGGGAGGTGGTCAGCGGAAGTCTTCCTGGAGAAGAGGATGGTGAGCTGATTGTCTAGGGACTGAAGCCTTGGGGTGGGTGAGGAGGAGGGGAGTGGGGAGCAGAGCAGGGCAGAGGGGAGGAGCAGCAGAGGTCCGAGACACAGAGGAGCATCGGTCAGTTTGGCAGAAGTGGGCTATGGGAGGCATGAAGGAGTGAGGATGAGGCTGGAGGTACCGTCAGGGGCCAGAGCTTGGGGGACCTCATGTATTTTACCGAAGAGGGTAGACTTTATCCTTAAGGTATGGGTGAGTTCCAGAAGGATTTAGGCAGGGAGTTAACATGATCAGTTCTGCTTATTAGAAAGACTTCCTGTAACTGTTCTGGAAACCCACCAGACCACTAAAAAGCTCTGTTTATGCTTAAGGTATCTATCTGGACTCACTTTAGAGCCACAGACTGGAAGGTTTGACAGACTCTTTACAGATAATCTAAAGCAACTCTTTCATTTTTCAGATGCAAAGGCCCAGACAGATAAATGACTGGCTCAGAGTCACACAGAGTTTTTGTAGAGTCAGAACTAGACCTCGAGGCTTCTGACTCTCAGATAGTGTACCTTCTGTTGTTGGATTAGACAACAGGGGCTCAGAGAAATTCTCAGCCACCTCCTACCCTCTGCATGTGCATACAAATGTATACACACAACATACACACACTCTTGGACAAACATGCAGAGCAAAACATTGATTAACTGGCACATCGCAGCAGAAGGCAAGTCTGGATGATTTATTTTCTGGGTACCTGGCAGTTAATCTGAAACTGACTTTATTTCAGCCCCTATTTAAATCTTCTAAAATCGCTGCAAGTGTATTTAAGAGGTGTCATCTAGTAACTATAAACGGGCTTTCTCTGCTGAGAGAGCCTGGAATGGGGGGTCAATTTACTGGCTTGGGGGTCACGATGGTGGGTTCGAGTCCAGCACTACGACAGAGCCGTTTTCCCATTTATACAGACAAGTTGGGCTTCACCGTCCTCGCCTGACATTCTGGAAACGGTGTTCTCTGCACCATGGCCTGTGGACACGGGCAGGGTGCCAATCCTCAGCACAGTCACCTCGTTTGCACCCATCCTTCCTCTCTCTGCTACCAACAAAGCAGGGAACTAAGTTTAAACTTTGCCCTCAATACTGACCACTGTGCCCAGCCACACTACAAATAATTATGTAAACAAATGGCTCTGTTTTTTCCAGGGTCCTAATCAGTGGGCATTGACATTTTTTATCCAATTAAAAACAAAACTCCAAACAGCTAATATTTAGTGCTGGTCCTGACCTTAAGTCTCTTGGGTTCTTATCTGAAGGGAGACTCCCTGGGGTCATTGGAGGCCAATGGCTGGCCAGTTGGCCATGGCTGGCCTCTGATCCTTCCCTGCTGAGGCCTGGGCAACCCTGTTGCATGGGTAAGGACTCACTGTGCAGTGAACCAGCAGTGACGGAGGCCCAGCCAATGCCTCCTAGGGTCTCCTGTGAGGAGATCTGTGAGCCAAGGACAAGGAGAGCTTTGTGTCTCCAGAGAACCTGGCCTACTTTTCCTCACCTACTGAAAACTCAGGAATTTATAACCAGTTATGTTTTTCCTTTTACTTGGCCACCTGGAAACTCAGAGCCAAATATTAGCTCAGTTATACCAAATGCATGGAAGCTTAAGGGCTGTTTATTTGTGTTCCATTTTTCCCTCCTGTTCTATGCCTCCTAGAGGGGCAAGATTTTTTTAAAATTTCTGTTTAATATTTTATTACAGTCATGCGCCACATAAGGACGTTTCGATCAACAATGGACTGCATATACAACAGTGGTCCCGTAAAATTAGTACCCTGTAGCCTGGGTGTGTAGTAGGCTTATACCATCTAGGTTTGTGTAAGTACACTCTGTGATGTTCACACAACGACGAAATCACCTAACAACGCATTTCTCAGACCGTATCCCCATTGTAAAGCGATGCATGACTACACGTGTAAGCTGCTTCAAATCCTTTGCAGAACAAGATGAGGAAATAACTAACCAAATAAACCACAAGCAAGTTAAGATGCCCTCTGCTCCCCATCCGTCAAGTCCTGCCAATTCCACCGTTTCCCCTTCTCCACTGCCCCACACCAGCCCAGGCTCCCGTTCTCTCTCACGTGGATTTCCCCAACACCCCCTAACTGCTCCTTCCCCACTTCCATCCTCACCTTCAGTCCTTTCTTTATAGAGTAGCCAGAGTCATCTTCAAGTGTAAATCTGATCATTTTTCATTTCACAGGCTGCTGTAGCAGTCAGGGTTCTGGCTTGCAAGCAACAGAAACTCACTCTGGTTTTCTTAGTCACACACACACATACATATAGCAAGGAACATATTGGAAAGACGTTGTAGGCTCCCCAGAATCAATTGCAGCTAAATCACTGTGCCTGAACCGTCTTTTACCATCAACAGTTGGGCCTGGATGCTGCTGTTACGGTGGTTGTCATGGAAACCCCTCACCACTGTAGAACTCCACCATCCCTGACGGGGGGCACTACCACTGGGCTGTGGGTGAATTCTACCATCTCAGTGACTGCAGAATCAAAGATCTATGTGGGAGGGTCCAATCAGCTCAGCCTGAGTCACTGCTTGTGCCCTAGCTACTGGCGGCAGAGAACAGATGTGGCCCCTCTGTCTTTCTTAGAGCAAGGCTGGGCACAGTCTCCCATGAATAGTACACAGAATAGGGAATTCCAAGTAGGAAGGAGGATTAAGAGCCGAGCAGCCAAAATTGCAACAAGTATCCACTATCCTTGCTTTATATCTCCACGACATCCCATTGTTCCTAGAATAAAATCCAGCTTCCTTTCCAAGGCTTGGGAGAGCCTACCCGCTCTCATAGGTAGCCCACGCCCACCTCTCTAACCACAGCTCTCGGTACATTACATTACTATATAATGGCTCCAGTCATGGTGGCCTTCATGTCCTTGAACACACCAAGTTCTGTCCCTCTCAGGGCCTTTGTACGTCAATTCCCTTTGTCTGGAATGCCTTCTCCTCCCTTTGCCCATGGCTGGCTCATCCCTACCCTTCACTTCTCAGGTTCAATGGTACCCCCTCAGAGGCCTTCCTTGACCCACCAGTTTAAACGGGGGCACTCCTTGATAGTCTCTTTCATAACACTTCTCACAACTTGAAATTACCTCATTCAGGTGTTTACTTGTTTTTTGCCTGTCTCCCCGTTAAAAAGACCTCAAACTGCATGCAGGCAGAGACCTACTGGTCTTGCTCTCTGCTGAATCCGCAGTGTGGGCAGAGAGCCTTGCACATTCTAAGTGCTGAGTAAATGTTTGTAGATGGAATGAGAGTGTGCTCAACGTTGAGGCTATGAGGATGGAGGAACAGGCCCTGCCCTCAAGGGGCAGTGAGCAGCCTGGGAGATACAGACACTTAACAGGCCATGTCACGGTGCAGGGCCTGCCGTGCTCTAACAGATGTGAGGGAAGGGCTCAACGGTGTCAGCTCTGGCCGTAGGTAACCACACGGTGCTGGCAGCCCCACATTCAGAAGGACCCTTTCTTGGGGTTTAATGCTCTGCTGTCTTGGAATCTTTAATAATTTCACCTTTGGATTTGCATTTTGTAAGCAAAGCCTGATGAGACAATGGAACATGCCCCGGGGACTTGGAGCCTTGGCTCACACAGGATCCTGCCTCCCACAGCCTCCCTGCTCCCCTGGGACAAGTCCTCCAAGGCTGGTTCTTCCACCCTTCATGCTGGGCTCGTCCAGCCTCCTTCCTGCTCCCGCCAGTGACCGCTGCCACCTTCTGGCCCCGGAGAGGGCCTGGACACAGACGCGGGAAAGGTCGGGGTCAGGTGTGGGCATCCTGCAGCGTTTCACCACAGGGCGTGGAGGCGGCCGTCCCCATCCTGGGCTGACAGCACCACGGGGCAATTGGGCAAGCGACTGGGGGTGACTTTGTGGGAGAAGCCGCTTGCGCACCCCCCCACCCCATCAAGGAGCCTAGCACGTCCGTGCATGGAGGCTGTAATATCCTGTGGGTTGGGGTGGTGGACAGGCGGGAAGGGGAAGTGTCTGGCTCAGTTTTGGTGCTCCTGGCCGGGGCATGGTGTGCTGGTCTGGTGGCTGGAGGGAGAGGACAGCGGGTAGCCAGCGGCCACAGGCACGCATACACATGGGCACTGAGTTTTGCTGCTCCTGGGTGACTGTGATGGTCTGTGTTCAGCAGATGAATATCCCCTTGCCCAGGGGTGGGTAACATTAAACAGCAACTAAAAAGCACCATGCCAGGACAAGAGAGAGACTGCAGAAGAAAAATCTTTGTATTTTCAGATATTTAATGGCAATTTTTTTCCCACTTTTTGAACAAGGGGCCCTGCATTTTCATTTTGCACTGGGCCCAGCAAACTATGCAGCCAGTCCTGCTCCCCACTTCACTCCCCTTTGTGGAGTCCCCTCCACTGCCCCCACCTCGTAGCTCAGGGAGGAGAGAAGAGCTGATAACAACAGCTGACATTTATCGAGCACCTACCACAGGCCAGGCACCATTCGAAGCCCTTATCTGTACTATCTTCTTCAATCCTTGTAACAATCCTATAAAGTAAGTGTTATTATTATGTCCATTTGTGGATGAGGAAGCACTTCAGGTTCCTGAGAGTCGAGAAGCTAGAGTGTTAATTTGAACCCCACCACTGACCTGCTGTGTGACCTGGAGCAAGTCTATAAACCAGGAGAAAAATGACCTACTTTGCAACATACTAACCACATCACGTGAGAGAATGGAGGCCTGCCTACCTTATAAACTGCGTGAAAGGGACTCTCCTTATTATTGTTTAACTACCATCCAGCCACTGCAAGTGGTCCACTGAAACCACCTGATTAAATCTCCTCATTTTCGAGTAAACCAGCTCCAGCCTCTGCTAAGCCATGCTCCCTAGGCTTCAGCCCCACCCTGTGCCTGGATCCATCTTAGAGGAGAAATAAAGGTAATCGAATTGAATGCAGGAGTGGAGATGGTGCTTGAAAATGCTGTGTGTAGATTATTGGTTGATGGTGGTTCCATTTCTGTTTTAGGCAACAGGCCATTGGTGCTGAATTTCGGAAGTTGTACCTGACCTTCGTTTCTTTTCAAATTTGACCAATTCAAGAGACTTATTGAAGACTTTACTTCCATCGCGGATTTTCTCATCATCTACATAGAAGAAGCACACGCATCAGGTAAAGAAGGATGCCCTGCCTCTATCTCTTCCCACCCTCTCCCTTCTCTCCCCTCTCCTCCAAGCCCATCTCAAGGTGGGGGTGGGGGAGGAAGGGGAGGAGAGAGGGAAACAGTCGCTATTCTCGGACCACCTACCATCTCCCAGTCCCTGTGAGGTTTCGCCACCACTCACTAACTCCACCGGCTGTGCTTGTCAGCCAGGCACCCCGAGCGGGTAGCCTGGAGTGACCGGGTCTGGCTGGGAGAGCATCTAACATTGTGAGTGGACAAATAGGGAAGTCAAGGGAGAGGAGCTGATATGAGCACAACTACAAGGAATTTAGGCCTGAAATGTCACAAGTGAAATGACTGCTATGTAGCTATTGGTGAAATCCACCCTAAGACTCGCCAAGCTCAAAGGGACGTTGCGGCTCATCTCCGTCAGTGGTTCCCAAGCTTTAGTGAGCATCAGAAGCGCCTGGAGTGCTTGTTAAAACAGACTGCTGGACCCTATCCCAGAGTTCTTGAGTTAAACCTAGGATGGGGCCTGAGAATTTGCATTTCTAACAAGCTCTGTGATTGTGATCCTGACGCTGTTGGTCTGGGGACAACACTTTGAGAACCGCTGCTCTAGGCAGCTTTTACCTGGGGCCGGGGTCCTTTCTTCAGCCCCAACAGGTGGTCACCCATCTTCATTACTTCACGGGAAATCTTGTTCCTTTGTTGTTTGGGAGAAAGGCTTTCCTTACAATGGACAGACATATCCCTTCCTGAAACTTTCCCAGCTTGGTCTAAGCCCCTCAGACTTTAAAAAAGTCAGACACCCTATCGCCCTGATTTTCATGGGGATTGAACACATGAGTTTGGCCCAACTCTCAACCCAGAGACTGAAGAAGGCTCGTGTGGCTGAGTGGAAGGCGTATCATTTACTCACCCATCTCCCCACAAGATTCATCTCTGTCACCCCGCCCCGGCAGAGTCCATGTCACAGAGTCAGAACGCAGTAAAATTGGGTGAATGAGGGATTGTTCAGGCTAGTGTTACCCTTGCTGGCTTATCCATGTGTTGTAATTGTAGAGAGTGCTATTAATGAATTACCAGCAAAGTTGGTCCAGCAGTGCTTTTCGCGGTGTGGTCCCTCGATCCCTCAAGTCAGTGCTTGTTGACATGCATGTTCCAAGGCCCCACTCAGGCCCAGAGCATCTTGATTTATGCACCCAAAGGTCTGAGAACTGCTTTCAACTTAATACTGTGTTCATTTAACTGGAAGCTTCTGTCCTCATTAAGACTTTGGGACAATTTAAAATATTAGCATAGGGTAATAGGTACACAGAGGTTCATTATACTGTTTTCTCTACCTTTATGTATATTTGAAAATTCCCATAATAAAATTTAAAACACCTACAGGTGTCTGTGGTCTCCATGGCTGAGAAGAAACCATGCCTTGATGTCAGCACAGCTGACAGCTGAAGCTCAGCCACAGCTGATTTAACTGTCCTGGGCAGCACCTGTCAAACTTTACTGTGAACTTCGATCACCTGGGGATCCTATTAAGATGCAGAGTCTGGCTCAGCAGGGCTGCAAACGGGCCTAAGATTTGGCGTTTCCAACCAGCTCCCCAGGTGTGTTGAGGCTGCTGGTCCAGGGACCACACTAGGAGAAACACGATCCTAGAGGACCCAGCTTTAATTTAAAAATAAAAGAACAAGTTGAAAACTGTCACAAGAGGGGTCAGATCATCACAGAAATTGTCCCTGGTCCTGAAACCTGTCTCCTGACCCATTTCTCCTGGAATCAGGCCCAGCAGGTTTAACCCTTTCCAGAACAATGGGCTGTCCACCTCAAGCCACCGAGGGAAGGCTTGCTGCCCCCGTCCTGACAAAGACCTGTTTCTTGCCTCTGCTTTGTCACTCCTGGTTCAGGCATTTCTTCCTCCTCCCCACCTCCTTCCCCAGGGTACTTGTTTCTGTCAATCAGACAGAGGTGGGTATAGCCTGAACCCCAGAATTAAAGTGCACAGAGCTAGTGTCCATCAATCCTAGGAGGTCTGGGGTCTGTAGCCCAAATCAGTTGGCTTCCTTTTTCCCACACATCACATGTTTGTCCAGGTAAATATGGGGAGGCTCGAGGTGTGGTGGGAAGGACAGACTTTAGAGTTTCAGACCTGAGTGTGAGTCCTAATTTCATGGCATGAGGTTGGCCACGTGACCTCAGGCAACTTACCTTCCATGCCTGCTTCTGCGCCACTGAGATGGGGTGACAACACCGACCTCACAGAATCACTCAACAGTATGTAATGTGGGCCTGCTATGTGCCCAGCCCACGCTGGGCCTAGGGACACAGGGATGAAAGATACACACAGATCCTGCCGCTAAGGAACTCATAGATGGAGTTGGGCAGCCAGTCACTGCTCCTGTCCAGGCCTCCACATTCTCAGGGGGATGAGAACCCCCGCCCGGCCTCCATAGGAGGAAGCTCCAGGGAGCTAGTGGGTGGACAAGACTGACTGCCCAAACATGACACAAATACATGCTGGGGGTCACGCTTGGGGTCACTGTCATACACATTTCTGATGTCTTGGGGCAGGCAATAAATACTTTGTTTTTTTGTGTGTGAGGAAGATTAGCCCTGAGCTAACATCTGTGCCCATCTTCCTCTACTTTATATGGGACACCGCCACAGCATGGCTTGACAAGCAGTGTATCGGTGTGCCTGGGATCCGAACCCGCGAATCCCAGCCTGCTGAAGCAGAGCGCGCGCACTTAACTGCTATGCCACCGGGCCAGCCCCGATAAATACTTTAAACTGTGGCCAGGCACTCCTATCTTGGTCTGCATTTCTCCTGAGAGCTGGTTCTTTTAGGGAAAGGGTCCTGAGCAGAGGAGTGTGAAGCGCTGAGGAGCTGGAGCCAATCCTGCTGATAGACTTAAGCAACCCATACTACCCGGGAGGCCACTATGGTTGTAAGCACAGGCCGGGTAGCTTCCGAAGGAACCCATGACCACGTTGTCCGGGTTCCAGGCTCCCCAGAAATGGGCCAAGTAGGAGGGCAAGGCCAGTAGCAGTTTATGGTTATTTTTTCAACCTGTGGACCCGTTAGCTAACGAATACCACCTCCTGTTAGGAGGCAGAAGGGCACCTTCCCATGAGGCCAATTGAAAATCCCCTTCCATTTACAGTGAAACAGCCTTAAATGGGTTTGGTTTTGGGGCCGGGGGACAGGGGATATCTCCAGAGCAAAGTAGTAGAAAACCGAGGTATAGAATAAAAACTGGGTTCTTTCCTACCTGTTATTTTGGGGCAGTCAGGCAAAATAAACCAATATTTTTCGAGCAGCTACTATGAAGCAGGCAGAGTACTGGGAATTCCGTACAGTTATCTCCTTTACGCCTCACAGCCATCTGCAATGTAGGTTCTATTAATCCCATTTAGCAGATGGTAAAACTGAGAAGTTAAAGAGATTTAAGGCGCTTGCCCAATATCACACAGCTGAGTGTCGCGGGGAGGGCTTCCTGGAGGAGAGGGTGTTAGAACAGTGGTTCTCAGCTGAGGGTGATTTTGTCCCCCAGGGGACATTTGGCAATGTCTGGAGACTTTTTTGGTTGTGACAAATTGAAGGTAGGGGGGTGCTCTGACATCTAGTGGGTAGAGGCCAGAGATGCTGCTCAACATCCTGCAACACACAGGACGTCCCACAACAAAGAATGACCTAGACCAAAGGTCGGTGGTGCCAGTGTTGAGAAGCCCTGCATTAGAGCTGAGCCTTGAAAGGACAGGTAGGATTGCAATGTGGAAGAGACGGTAAGGAGACAGGGCAGGGAGACGTCAGCATCACTTGGGGAGGAGTCCAATTTGGCTAGAAGTGGAAGGACTGGCAGCCGTGACTGGAAATGTAGGTCGGGAGAGATGATAGAGATCATTAAATGCTATGCTAAGGAGTTGGTCCTGTAATTGGTTTTTAAGCAGAGAAAAAATATCAAACTTTGTCTTAGGAATCATTCTCAGAGATTTTGGGACAATGAGTTGGAAGGTAGTAAGATCAGGAGGCTTAGGAGGGGGTGAAAACAAGGATCATCACCAGGCTAGCAGATGTCCTTGGCTATAAGCTCACCCGAGCGGCTTATCATGAGGCTGTCAGCAGAGCTAACACATCAGCTGCAGGAGCAGAAGTCACTGTATCCAAACCAAGGAGAGAGAAGGTCCTGCTCTACCCACACCTCAGGGGGAGGCAGGAACTGTGATGAAAAGGGCAGACTTGAGAGACAGCTTGGGGTGAGTGGGTCAAGGAATCCCAAGTCTTTCAGCTGGCCGGCTGGAGAGATCGGCCAGGTCACCGAGGACCGGGTGGGCCACACAGAGGGGCTTGGGACTTATCCTGAGGGCGATAGGGATCCATCAAAAAGTCTAAGCAGGAGAGTGACGTGTCAGATTTGCATATTGGAAAGGACACTGGTGGAGAATAATTAGAAGAGGGAAATTGTCTAGACTCGAGAGCAGTAGTTCTCAAACTTCAGCATGTGTTAGAATCCTCTGGAAGGCTGTTAAAGAGATTGCTGAGCCCCACTCCTGGTCAGTCTAGGAGTTACTAACAAACTCCCAGGTGAGGCTGACACTGCTGGTCTGGGCAGTGCACACTCAGAGAACCAGCGCTCTAGACCCTTGCTTCTCAAAGTGTGGTCCAGGCACCCGCAGCCTTGGCACCCTGGGAGCTAGCTAGACCCTCAGCGCGACCCTAGACAGACTGAATTAGAATCTTCCTTTAACAAGGTCCCCGACTGAGTCATACACACATTAAAGATGGAGAAGCACTGGTCCATCGGACTTGCTCACGCTGAAGAGCTGAGGTCTGGGACTCAGAAGCCCTGAGCTTCAGCTCTCGATCAGTCACTAACTCCCTACGTGGTCTTGTGCTTTCACCCATAACAGGAAACTGGGCCAAATCATGGCCGAGGGTTCCTCTCTCTGGGACCCTCCCTCAAAAGTGGGGGGTGTTTAGTCCTCAGGAAGAGTGTGTCATGCCTATGGGGCCCGCTGCCCGGCGTTTCTCTTGTAGATGGCTGGGCTTTTAAGAACAACGTGGTCATCAGGAATCACCGGAATCTCCAGGACCGCCTGCGGGCAGCCCGCCTGCTGCTGGACAGGAGCCCCCAGTGCCCGGTGGTGGTGGACACGATGAAGAACCAGAGCAGCCAGCTCTACGCGGCACTGCCCGAGAGGCTCTATGTGCTCCGGGAGGGCAGGATCCTCTACAAGGTGGTGACGCGGGGCAGGGGGCCCAGGGAGGGCCAAGAGAGGGCTTTGTATCAGGCTGACCTGGATTCAAATCGCTGCCCAGCCATTTACCAGCCACGTGAGCATGGGCAAGTCCTTTCCCCTCTTGGAGCTTCAGTTTCCTCTTCTGCAAAATGGAGATGTGGGCCCCCACCTCACAGGGCATGAAATAACGCACAGGAACGTCCCCAGCACGGGGACTGGAGCCGCAGCCTTCCTGCTGCCTTCTGAACCCAGAAGACTGGCCCAGCCCTGGTTTAGTTTGAAGCTGAGAGAGAACGTTGTTTCCGTTTCATAAACAATGCTCAGAGAAGGAAACTGACTTGCCCAAGGTCACACTGCACAAGGCTCTAATTTCAATTCTAAATCCTCTGAATGGGATGGGCCGCGAGTGGGTGAGTCCAGAGCTGCTAACCTCTGAGGCAGGCCTGAACCTGGAGGCGGGTGTAGGCGGTGGGAAGACAGTGGGCCCTGGGGTTGGAGCTGGAAATGCTGCAGCAGGAATTCCAGGCAGGAATTGAATCCAGGCTTCCTTTCTGGTAACTGTGTCCCCCTCATGGCTTCCAGCCCGGCCGGGGTGAGGGAGGGAAGCACAGCCTCTGACCCCTTGGGCACTGTTGGCCTCCCCTGAGAGGGCAGAAACTAAGTTTTATAGCTGCCGAAGGGATTTCCAGCCTTGAGGAGCACGTGAAGCCCGACCATGTGGCTGCTCCTCTGCCCGCGGGTCAGGCTGGCCCCACTCATGCAGATGAGACAAGCGACAACTTGCAGATGAATCCCCGGGGTGCCAAGGGTCACAGCACAAAGATTCAGGTCCTTCTTCCTTTCCTCTCCCCGCGACATGTTACTAAGATGGCATGACTGGGGTAAGCTGGGCGCTGAGTCCCTGCCGTGGGTCAGGCCTTGGGCAAGTACTGGAAACACAACAATGAATTAAAAATGGCCCATACCTTACTGCGAGGTGCTCACACACTGGAGGACGAGGAAGACACAAATGAAGTGTCACAGTGTCCCAGGCGCCGTGAGGTTCCAGAGCAGGGATCAGCAAACCTTCTCTGTAAAGGGCCAGATAGTAAATATTCTCGACTTTGTGGGCCAAGTGATCCCTGTTGCAATGATTCGGTTCTGCTGCTGTAGCACAAAAACAGCTTAGACGATATGTAAACGGAAGGCTGTGAGGCATCAGGACAGATTTAACTCTCAGGCTAAGTTTTCTGACCCCTGGGGAACAGTAGGCTTTTCAGAGGAGGTGACAGTCCTTGGGCCTTAAAGGATAAGGAGCCAGTCCTGCGAGCATGGTGGGTGAAAATCATTGCAAATATCGGGAAGGGGGTGGGCACAGGCACTGGGGCATGTTGGGGCAGGGAGCAAATGGAGAATCGAGGGCATTTGGGTTACAGGGGTCTCAGTCTAGACCGTGGAGTTTGGCCTTCATCTTAGGGCAAAGGAGAGCCATTGAAGAGTTTTGAGCAGGGGAGAGGCATGATCAGATCCTTACTTTAGAAAGATTGCTGGCTACTGGGTGAAGAATGGACTGGAGGAGCAGAGACCGAGGACTGAGGATAGTCGGTAGGTATGGCAGCTGCCTAAGTAGGGGGTGAAGAGGGCTGAACTAGAGCAGTGGGACTGGAGAGGCAGAGGTGGTTCTCATGTAGGGTGGGCAGAACTTGATGTGTGTGTGGAGAAGATAAGGCCAGTCTGAAGGTCTGATTAGGGAAGCAAAGCTTATTTGTATAGACCCCTTCCTCCTTTTGAAATGATTCGCTTCACTCCCTCTGGTTTTCCTCCGACTTCTCTGTCCAGTCTTCCCATTAAAGGTTGGTGCCCCTCCGCACCCTCTCCCTGGGCGATCTCAGCCACCTCTGGTTGCACGTGCCCTCGACTACACACCCTGTCGAGTCCCACACGGACGTCACTAGCCCAGCTCTCTCAGCTAAGCTCCAGACCCACGCATTCCTGCACGGCGGAAGTCTGGGACTGCCGATTCATTTCTCTTGCAGGGTAAACCTGGCCCTTGGAACTACCATCCAGAGGAAGTCCGTGCTGTTCTGGAAAAGCTCCACAGTTAATCTGGAAAGATCCCCCAGTTCCAGGTGACCCGCAGGAGGGCTCTTCAAGGCTCGGCTCTCCCTCCAGCACAGCTGGCTTTTACCTCTTGACCTGTGTCCCCAGCTGAATCACCAGCTCAGATTTTTCTGATCTAAGCAAACAGCTCTCAGCTGGGGAGTGCAGGCCGCAGCCCTCAATCAGAGGCAACTGTTATAATCAGAACATGAAGCAGCAAGTCAGCCGATTGCTAAAGAATGCACAACTCCACGCTGCCCCCACTGTGGGGACCACGTTCACTGCGGGACGTCTCAGCGTGAGAGCAGTTGCACTCTGTGGCACACTTCTGAGGTGTGGTGTCTCTCTTCAGCCACTCTGATACCGCGTGGTTAGACATGGCATCCCTTATATTAGGTAAATTCATTTCACCAAATTTTCCATTTATGGATTGGTAATTTAAGACACTAAGTTGGTTTTTAGAACCAGGCATTGGGAGAACTCCAGGTGTTTAGAGAAAGATAAAGAATCGGAAGAGGTGGGAGTAAGATTGGGAGGAGACAGTAAAGGTGGTAATCCTCTCCTTGCCAAAAGATGGAAACCAGGCGGCGGTGGCGGTGGTGAGCGGTGAGTTTCCAGGGTAACTTATCTCCAATTGTACCATAGAAGAAGAGGGTACTCACTTGACCGTCTTTGAATATATTTCACAGAAATCTGGCTCTCTGTGTCCTGGAATCTTCCACTATCTTCGCTTATCAACAGAGTCACTTGCAGGGAGGACTTGCTTCCCCAAAGCATAATAACTTTGACCAAACTAGACAAGAGTCACCGCAGAGCTGTCATTCAGTTGTGCAGAAACTCATATTTGAAGTTCTGATTCTCTGATTTCTTTGCAAGTCTCTTAATGGTCATTTGTGTTAGATTACATCAGACTAATGGATAACTATTGGTATTCATCTTTTTTAACTCTGCTTCTTTTCATATTTGTTTATGACGGCCACAGCCTAAAGTGCACACAGCTGTGACTTGATTTGAAAAAATGTTTTAAGATGCAGCAAGCTAATACAGAATGATTAAAATATATCGGGCTATTTTAGATGGCTTCAGCGTGATCTTTACATTTTCTTTTCCAATTTGTGTCAGCCTGTGCTATCTTTTATTTTATCCCAATGTAATCTGATCAGCAAAAATATCGCATGCTGGAAGGACCTCATTTAGTGGGAAGAACGCTCAGCCTCTATGTGTCATGTGTCAAATGTGGTCTTGTCTTGAGAACTCCTGCTAGAGAATTTTTCACATTGGAATCAAACAACCTTCACAATGTGACATAAAAGAATGGACCTGGGAGACATTTTTCTAACATGAAAACCCATTGTCTTGACTCTGCCTTAGTTGCTACAATGTTAATTTTATTAATGTTGCTATTTTACTCTTTTAAAAATAGTTATCATTAATCACCTACCAGGCACAGGCACTTTCAGATATATGTCATTTAATCACTATATATCTCAAAGAGGAGATTATCATCAGCTGTTTTATAGACGAGGAAATCGAGGCTCAGAGTTAAGTAACTTGTGGAACGTCTTAGAACTAGTAAGTGACAAGCCAAGATTCCAACCCCATCTCTAACTTCAAGGCCAGAGTCCTGGCTCTGCTCCCTGCTAGCTGTGTGACTTTGGCTAAGCTACACTGGTATCTTGAACTACAAAATGGGATATGAGCAGTGCCTACCCCATAGAGGATTCATGAATAAAGCACTTGGAACTGTGCCTGGCTTGGAGAAAAGAACACGGAAATGTTGGCTATTATTATTATTATCATCATCTTTATTGTCCCACAACTGCCTCTTTGGGCCCCCTTTTTAGAGGGTGGAGGATGGGAAAAAGGATGGTAGGAACACAATAAAAACTCTTCATCCTGCCAAAGCAACTGACCAATAACTGGCACGAGTTTGTGAGATCCCACTGAGAATGGGTAGCTGTGAAAATGGGGGAACTAAAGCACAGCTGGGCACTGTCCTTCCTAAGTACTAAGTTCCACAAAAGGAGAGAGCATATAAGGCCACGCTCTTCTGAATCACTTCTCAGAAATTCCTTCAATTCATGTCTATAAATGCACAGAAACCTTCCAGTTTTCAACAAATAATAGAAGCTGAACTGAGGAGTTTTCAGAATGATAAAATAGACCTCAGGCATTTCAGTTCAATTCTCTTCAATGTAATGCTTCAGACTAATTAAGCACGGGTTATTTTCTAGGTGCGGAATGACGCAAAGATGGACAAGGTCCAGCTCTTGTCCTCCAGCAGCTTAACCTCCTGGGGGGCCAGACACACACTGTGATGACCGTAATTCAGGGTGGAATACGATGGGTTAGAGCTGAGGAGAAGACTAAGTGCTCAGAGAGCACAGAGGAGGGAGCAATCCCTCGGAGCTGGGTGGATCTGGGAAAGCTTTGTGGAGGTGGTAGCATTTGGGCTGCGTCTTCAAGGACGCCCAGTCCTTCTATAATTTGGGATGGGGACCTGGAGAACATGGGAAGGGAGAAGGGCATTTAAGTGGAGAAAACTACATGCAAAGGTGGAAAAAAGAACATGTGCAGGGGACTGCAAGAGGTTTGGACCCAATTCTAATTCATGATGGAGAAAGGGCTTTTCTCTTTGAAGGTGACTTGTCTGGGGCTGGATACCCAGAATGAACCCATCCTGCTTGGCTAACATTGTAGAGTACTAGTAAGCAAAAGAAGCTTATTAATGTGTCCTGTCCAGCTCCAAGTACAGTTTGCATTCAGGACATCAATTGATTTGAAGGAAATACATCATCACACCATGTCTGTCTGCTTTCACTGGGAAGGTTTCTCCCCTAGTTTGCTTGTTCTCTGACAATGATGCCCTTTGTGGTACCTGGCTTTATGTGGGGGCTCTGAGCCTACACCCGATTCTGGCAGACGCAAGACATTGCCTATGTGCCTGGAAAACTAGGGAGGCCTAGGAAACCACAGCTTGGAATACTGGGAGTTGGCAGATGCCCCCCGAGCAGCCCACTGTCTTTAATCCTTGCACACCTCCCTAGAGTGGGGCTCTCAATTTGTTCCTGGCCACAGACTATTTTATTTCTGGGAAACTCAGCCATTAATTTAAAAAGGTGTGTTAAAATATTTTATCCAGCATTGTTAGATGTTTGACTGAGGAAGGATTCCAGAATACCTAATCTGCCATTTAGATTACATCATTTCAAGAAGAGCACATCAGTTGTGTATTCTCTGAAGTCTTACATGCTTGCAACTGCCAGTCTGTTGTCTTCAAGCCTGAGGGATACCTGGCTGGGTTTCAGATTCTTGTGTTTCAGTCTCTTATAATTTTATTTATTTATTTATTTTTTCCCCCAAAGCCCCAGTAGATAGTTGTATGTCATAGCTGCATATCCTTCTAGTTGCTGTATGTGGGACGCGGCCTCAGCATGGCTGGAGAAGCGGTACGTCAGTGAGCACCCGGGATCCGAACCCGGGCCGCCAGCAGCGTAGCACGTGCACCCAACCGCTAAGCCACGGGGCCGGCCCTGTTTCAGTCTCTTTACCTCAGACATTTGTGGACATTGCTCCACTGTTCTCTAGTGGTTATGAGAGGAGAAGTCTGAGGCTAGCCTAATTTATTTCCCCTGGCCCTTGAATCGATTTTATTCTGCCTGGAAACCCGTCAGATTCTTTCTTTTTTTTTTTTTTTTAATTAATTAATTTATTTATTTTCCCCCAAAGCACCAGTAGATAGTTGTATGTCCTAGTTGCACAGCCTTCTAGTTGCTGTATGTGGGACGCGGCCTCAGCATGGCTGAAGAAGCTGTGCGTCGGTGCACGCCCGGGATTCGAACCCGGGCCGCCAGCAGCAGAGCGCGTGCACTTAACTGCTAAGCCATGGGGCCGGCCCAGATTCTTTCTTTATGTTTGAAGTTCAGTGACTTCACAAAGACATATTCCAATGTTGATTATTCTCTATCAAAATTTCCTGGAATACTGCTGTAGTCTGAATGTTTGTGTCCCCCTAAAATTCATATTCAAAATTCAATTCTAAATCCTGAAGTCCAGGGCCGGCCCCGTGGCTTAGCGGTTAAGCGCACGTGCTCCGCTGCTGGCGGCCCGGGGTTCGGATCCCGGGCGCGCACCGATGCACCACTTCTCCAGCCATGCTGAGGCCACGTCCCACATCCAGGAACTAGAAGGATGTGCAGCTATGACATACAACTATCTACTGGGGCTTAGGGGGAAAAAAATAAATAAAATTATAAAAGAATAAAAAAATAAATCCTGAAGCCCAGCATGATGGTATTAGGAGGTGGGGCCTGTGGGAGGTGCTTAGGTCATAAGGGTGGAGCCCTCATGAATGGGATTAGTGCTCTTACAAAAGAGACCCCACAGAGCTAGCTTGCTCCCTTCCGCCAGTGAGGATACAAGAAGTCTGTGACCTGGAAGAGGGCCCTCACCTGGCCTTGCTGACACCCTCGTCTTGGACTTTCAGCCTCTAGAATTGTAAGAAATAAATTTCTGTTGTCTATAAGCCACTTGGTCTAGGGTATTTTTTGTTATAGTAGCCCAAATGGACTAAGGCAAATACAATATCCTCTTTTGGTCCTAAGATTTAATTTTTTTTTTTTTTTTAATTTCAGGGACATTTTCTTCTGTTGCCTTGAATATCTTTCTGTTGCATTTATTTTTATATTTATATTATATTTATATATGCATTTATATTTATTACTCAGAAAAAATTATGAGTATGCTTTATCTCCTTTTCTTCCATAATTATCTTCTCTATAACTATTTTTTAAAACTTTGTTCTTTTCGATTCCATTTTGTGATTTTTCTCAAGCTCTCTGACCCTGATTCTTCTTAAATTGGGTTTATGATTGTGTCAGATATAGTTTGTTGGTTCTCACCCATTCCCACTCTTCCTACCTCTGGATTCCAGGGAGCTGGAAGCCTGAAAACTGCATTTCCCAGACTCCCTTGTCAGCTGCTCTCTGGTTAGGTTCTGCCAACAGGAAGCACTGGTGGGAGACTGGAAGGGGAGTGAAAGGGAGAAGCCATTTTTCCACTTCTGGCTGTGTGACTGCAGGTGACTGCACACTGTAGCGGCTTTGGTATCACCTGCCATGGTGATGGACTGGCTTCTCTTCAGAGGCAGTGATGGCGCCGCCGCGGATCAACACTGAGTGTGGCTCATGGGCTCCAGCTCTGGGTTACATCCCCTCTCCTGCTTGTCTTCCCA